GACTGTGAGCATGGTAAGCTCACCCCTGCTATGCCTCAGACCCCTGGGAGGAAGGGCAAGAGACCCAGGAGGGAAGGCGGGTGCTCTGCTCCCATCTGCAGAACTTGAATTGTGGGGCAAACTCCCTACTGCCCCCAAGGAGGCAGAGAGATGGCCTCAGCCGAGCATTAGGTGCACATCTGTGATCCCAGCACTCCGCAGCTCAGGCAGGACTGCTGAAAGCTCTAGGCCAGCCTGGGCTACATAGTGAGTTCAAGGCCAGCCTGGGCTACGTGGTGAGACCTTGTCTTGAAAAACAAAAGGGAAAGAGAATAGAAGTGGCTTAAGGAGCTAAGGTAACCCCTGGATGGAGCAGCGGCGGCGGCTGTGGCCTCTGCCTGGCTGTCTCAGGCCCTCGCCCCTGGCTCCCCCCTCCAGGCCCGGAGTGCAGCCCCTTGAGCCAGGTGGTGTCTGAGGCCTTCGTTCGCTTCTTCGTGGAGCTCGTGGGCCACTACCCGCTGTTCCTGACCACGGGCACGGGCGAGCGCGAGGAGCGGGCCCTGCAGCGCGAGGCCTTCCGCAAGGCCGTGTCCTCCAAGAGCCTGCGCCACTTCCTGGAGGTCTTCATGGAGACGCAGACCTTCCGGGGCTTTATGCAGGAGCGTGAGCTGTGCCGGCAGGATGCCAAGGGTCAGTGCCGTCCTGAGGGTGTGGGGCGCTGCCACGCACAGCACCCACCCCGCCCTGCTTCCCTCATCCAACAAGGCACCCTCCAGGTTACCTGTAACCTCGCAGAGCCCTCCAGAGCAGCCAGGTAGAGCTCATGCCACCAGCCCTAGCACTCAAGAGTCTGAAGAGGAGGGTGGCAAGCGTGAGCTCCTTTGGGGCAGGTTAGTGATTTGGTGAGGGCCTGTCTCAAAATAAAGGCAGCCCGGCATGGTGGTGCAGACCTGTAATCCCAGCACTCAGGAGGCTGAGGCAGGAGAAACTCTGTGAGTTCAAAGACAGCCTGAGCTACATAGCAAGACCTTGTCTCAAAAAAACCACAAAGAAATAAATAAAATTTTAAATTTTAGGGGCTGGAGAGATGG